GGGGGGGTAGAGACCCCCACACACTCCCCCCAAGGCATGCAGCCCCCACTTCTTGGCAGGAGCAGCAGACTTGGAGGTCAGGGTGCTTGTGGCTGTCACTGCTGGCATGGTGTGGAGCTGCAGGGATAGAAGCAGCTGGGCAGGCTACGTAGGGATGCACTCCTCACCCCCAGCACAGCACGGACTGTCTCTATCACTGCTCTACACTGTGCCTGCAGCTCTGCACTCAAAGAGGGGAAGCCCTGCACTGGTCTCTGTCCGGAAGCAGGGGGCAGGGCTCCCTCTACTCCCAGCAGAGTGCAGGACCTGCACAATGGGGAGTGGGGGAAGCAGCTGGCTCCAGTGTGGGGCTTCCCCCGCTGCAGGCTTAGGCTCAGGGAGCAGACTTCTTACTAGGGTGATCCAACTTTGCATTATCTCCAGTTCAGTACCATGCCTGGAAGGCACACTGGAGTCCATGAATGGCTAGGTAATAGCTAATCTTTGATAATTTTACATTAGGTTTATGAAACAGCACTAGATTTTGGTTCTTAGCTATACCACTATACCATCTATTACGGATAATGAAGACTACCTTTGAGCCATCTATCCCTTGACTACCATCTTCTCCTGGAGGTCCTGGTCCACCCTAATTGTGAGGAGAAATTAAAAAAAAAATTATGGCCATCTCCTAAGTATCTGAAGAAGTTCCTTCTAAGGGAACAGAGTTGCCTTTAAAGAACACAAACTTTCTGTCTGTGTTACTGTTATTGTCTGAATTTTTCAGACAGATTTTATGTTGGGAATAAATCAGAAACCTGTAAACCTGAAAAAGTAAAATCTCAAAGACTGATCAGTTGCATCTCAGCATCACAACCAACACTTACCATTAAAACTCACCACTTAACAACAGTAACCACACCATGATATTTTGGATACCACAGTAGTTAGTAGGGCTGTGTGAAATTTCAATGGGTGTTTCGTTTCAAAGCTGTTTTGATGCATTTTGAGCTCGAAACAGTGAAACTGAAACATAACAAAAGGCTTCATAGTTTCATAGTTAGTAGGGTCGGAAGGGACCTGAGCAGATCATCGAGTCCAACCCCCTGACATGGCAGGAAAGAGTACTGGGGTCAAACGACCCCAGTAAGGTGACTGTCAAGCCTCCTCTTAAAGACCCCCAGGGTAGGAGCCAGCACCACTTCTCTTGGAAGTTGGTTCCAGATCCTAGCCAC